TTTGCTCTTAGTGGGAAGCGCTGCAGCGGCAAGGGCAAGGGTGGAAAGAGTGGTGGCGATGGCAGCGGGGGTGGTGTTGGTGGAGGCGGTGGAGGCGGTGGAGGTGGCGGAGGTAGTGGCAGCGGTGGGAGTGGTGACGGGAGTGGGGGCTTCGGTGGCGGCGATGGTGGCAGTGGTGGGAGTGGGGGTGGCGGTGGTGGCGGCAGTGGGAGTGGTGGCGGCGGCAGTGGTGGCGGTCGGGGTGGAGCTGTTCAGAGGGGAGTCTCTAGCGGTGGCTAGAGGCAGCAGCAGCAGCGTCGGAGCAAGAACCCTACGCCCTAGCAGCTTTGTGAGTGGTTTGCTCAGCGTCGGGCGTTTGGGGGTAGTGTTCGCTGCCCGTATGTCATTCGCACAGGTGACCGCGCTAGTCAGACATGCGGGAAGTTTCACACACAGCACCGCTGCTTCTCCCGCCTTGACGACGCTTGGCGCGCAGAGTTTGGCGACGAGGCTGAGCGCCCACGCTGGCTAGAGCTGCTTAGGTCTGGTGTTGATATCTTTGCTCTTGACTATGATGCTATCCTTGCCGCCATGTATGCGTGGTCTGTTAGTGCTGAGGGTGACTGTTACCTTTGTGTGCCGCCCGACCCAGGTATAGCGGATGCTTCTCTAGGTGCCAGTGAGTCTGCTCTCCCTAATACTGCGCCTGCTGAGGCCTTGCACACCTTCAGACTTGACTCAGGTGCTTCCCGCTGTTTCTTTCGCGACAGTACCACACTCACTCCACTCCCTGCACCTGTTCCAGTCAGAGTGGCTGACCTCTCAGGGGGCCCAAATCTTGCTCGTTCCTCCACTGTTCTCCCGTGTCCGGCGGTTCCATCCAGCTCACTCTCAGGTCTTCACCTCCCCTCGTTCTCTACAAACTTGGTGAGTACCGCTGCCCTCCAGGATGCGATGGTCACTACCACCACTCCTGGGGGTCAGCGTGTGTCGATCTGCACGTGTACACGGATGGGCCGTCACTTGGCCACGTTCACCCGTCGGCCTGGGTCGAGTCTGTACACACTGACTACTAAGCCTCCTCATGTAGCTGCTTTTGGTCAGGTGTCCGCGTCAGGTCCGGTAGCAGCCCCCTGCTTGTGTTGCCTCCTGTCGCACCAGACTCTCCTTTGGCACCACCGCCTTGGTCACCCCTCCCTGCCACGCCTTCGTGGCATGCACTCCCGCCTCCTTGTTTCTGGTCTTCTTAGGTCTCTGCCTCCCCTCTCGCCCTCGCCTGCCCCGCCCTGCCTTCTTTGCATCGAGGGGCGGCAGCGCGACGCTCCTCACTCCTCGTTTCCCCTAACGACTGCTCCCCTGCAGACTCTCCACATGGACGTGTGGGGCCCAGCCCGTGTCAGTGGACAGGACTGCGACCGCTAATTTCTGCTGGTTGTTGACGAATACACGTGTTACAGCACGGTCTTCCCCTTGTGCAGCAAGGGTAAGGTCCCTGATGTCTTGATCCCTTGGATCCGCGCAGTCCGTCTCCAGCTCCGCGAGCGGTTCCGCTAGGATCTTCCTATCCTGTGTCTGCACTCTGACAGAGGTGGTGAGTTCTCCTCCGACCTCTTGCGGGACTTTTGTCGTGGGGAGGTCATCCTCCAGTCGTTCACGCTCCGGCCTCTCCGCAACAAAATGGGGTTGCTGAGCGCCGCATTGGCTTAGTCATGGAGGTGGCTCGTACCTCCATGATCGATGCAGCTGCTCCCCATTTTCTGTGGCCGTTTGCGGTCTGGTACGCTGCGCATCAGCTCAACCTTTGGCCCCGTGTCTTCTTGCCGGAGACCTCGCCTACACTGCGTTGGACGGGGCAGGTTGGCGATGCGTCGGTGTTCCGGGTCTAGGGGTCTCGTGCCTTTGTCCGCGATACTTCCGTGGACAAGCTCTCCTCCCGCGCCATTCCCTGCGTCTTCCTTAACTTTCCCCCTGACGCGCTTGGCTGGCAGTTTTACCACCCCACCTCGCGCCGTGTCCTGTTCTCTCAGGACGTCACGTTTGACGAGTTGGTTCCCTTTTACCGTCTCTTCCCCTACCGCACTGCCCCTCCCCCACCCCCGCCGCTCTTCCTCGCTCCAGGCCCCCCTCCAGTAGACCCCCTCCCCCCTCAGGGTCCTGCTCCCTCTGGTGTGTCTCAGGTAGACCCACTCCCCTTGGCTGAGCCTGTCGAGGTCACTGTAGACTCTGGTGCTGCTGGGGGTGGTGCTGCTAGGGATGCTGCGTCTGGGGGTGCTGAGCCTGCGGGTGCGGAGCCTGGGGGTGCTAAGCCTGCGAGCGCGGAGCCTGGGGGTGCTGAGCGTGAGGGTGCGGAGCTCCAGCGCCTCCAGCTCCGGGGTCTCCAGCTCCAGCTCCTCCAGCTCCAGCGCCTCCAGTGCCAGCGCCTTCAGCTGAGTCTGAGGGTGCGGAGTCTGGGGGTGCTGAGCCTAGGGGTGCTGCATCTGTCGGAGGTCCTGCGTGTGCCTCGCCACGACTTTCTCGCCGGCGGGAGCCTCTCTCACCGCGGCGAGTGGCTTGCTTGGTGCACAGGCCTTAGGAGTGGCACTGCAGGAGCTGGAGGCTCTACCGTTGGAGGCACTGGAGCTGGAGGTGCTGGAGCTACTAGTCCTGGAGGTGCTAGAGTTACTGCTCGAGATGAAGGTACTGGAGGTGTTGGAGCTACTGGTCCTGGAGGTGCTCGTACAAGAGGTACTGGAGCTGCCGGAGCTGGTGGTGTTAGAGGCGCTGGAGCTGGAGACCCTGGAGCTGGAGGCACTGGAGCTTGAGGTGCTTGAGTTGGAGGTCCTAGAGCTGGAGACCTTGGAGCTGGAGGCACTGGAGCTGGAGACCTTGGAGCTGGAGGCGCTGGCGCTGGAGGCGCTGGAGCTGGAGGAGCTGGAGCTGGAGACCCTAGAGCTGGAGGCGTTGGTGCTCATCTGCTGCTGTACCTCATCTCGTGGCCATGCTGCTTGCACCTGAGGGAGACCCAGATGCACCATAAATCCTGGCCCCGTGCTCTTACGCAGAGGCGATTACGGGTCTCTACTCCTCTCAGTGGCAGACATCCATGGACGCAGAGATGGCATCCTGGAAGTCTACAGGCACCTACGTCGACACAGTTCCCCCTCGTGGGGCGAACATAGGCGATGACATGTGGATCTTCAGGGTGAAGCGGCCGCCGGGTTCTCGGCCTACCTTCAAGGCTCGTTACGTTGCACGAGGCTTTAGTCAGCGACAGGGAGTTGACGTCTTCCAGACCTTCTCCCCTACCCCGAAGATGATAACTCTTCGGGTGCTGCTGCTCGTCGCCGCTCAGCGTGACTACGAGCTTCACTATCTTGACTTCAGCACAGCTTACAGGGCAGCCTGCACGAGGAGATCTGGCTGCGCCGCCCACCTGGCTTCACTGGGTCGTTTCCTGCAGGTACCCAGTGGAGCCTCCGGCGGCCAGTCTACGGTCTCCGCCAGGCGCCTCGCGAGTGGCACGACACACTGAGGACGACGCTTGCGGCTCTTGGGTTTGCTCCTTCAACTGCTGACTCGTCGTTGTTTCTGCGCACCGACACTTCGTTGCCGCCGTTCTACATCCTCGTATACGTCGACGACTTGGTTTTTGCCACTGCTGACACTGAGGCACTTGCCCTTGTGAAGTCGGAGCTGCAGAAGAGACACACCTGCACTGACCTGGGTGAGCTGCGCAGCTATCTTGGCTTGCAGATCACCCGAGACAGAGCACGGCGCACCATCACCTTGACTCAGTCACACATGGTGCACCAGGTCCTTCAGCGCTTCTTCCGGTACTCCTCGCCACACTCCTCTCCTCTGCCGACCGGTCACTCGCTCTCAGCTCCACCTTCGGACGAGTCCGTAGAGCCGAGTGGCCCTTATCCAGAGCTTGTGGGCCGCTTCATGTACCTGATGACCTGCACTCGACCTGACTTCGCCTACCCTTTTAGCATCCTGGCACGCTACGTTGCGTCCGAGAGACACCGACCAGAGCACTGGGAGGCCGCTAAGAGAGTGTTGCGCTACTTGTGCAGTACATCGGGCATGGGGCTCGTGCTTGGAGGACGGGGTCCAGTTGTCCTCACTGGACACGCAGACGCGTCTTGGGTTGACGACTGGCTACGCAGCGGTCGTGACAGGGTTACACTTTCAGCCTTGGCTCCGGCTCTGTTTCTTGGCGGTCTAGTCGCTCGTCTTCTGTTCTCAGTTCCAGTTGTGAGGCTGAGATCTACGCAGGGGCCATGGCTGCACAGGAGTTACGCTGGCTCACCTACCTGCTGACCGACTTGGGAGAGCGGCCTTGTTCTCCTCCACTTCTGTACGTAGACAACAAGGCCATGATTGCCTTGTGACAGGAGCACATACTGGAGCACAGGACGAAGCACATCGCTCTGCGTTACTTCCTTGCTCGAGAGTTGCAGCAGTGTGGTCAGCTTCGTCTTGCTTACGTGGCCACTTGGGCCAACACTGCTGATATATTTGCCAATGCACTTCAACCTGGTGATCATCAGCGTTTCTGTACTTTGCCTCACTTGCTCACTGCGTGACTTTGCTTGTACTGTGATCTATATACATGATCACTGTACTGTTTGTTCTCTTTTATATAACTCTGCATGTGAAGTGGCCTTGTGGCCATTTGCTTGTGCTCGGAATGTGTGGTGACTTCGTGATCCACCCTGAGCTTGCTTTGCTTTTCTTGACTGGTCTTGTGACCACTTGTTCTCCCCCACTCAGCCTATGGGGGTGTGTCAAAATGTTATAATGCTTATATTGTATAGGCTGTAGTGGGGTAGCCCATAAGGGGTACAACCCAACTAGGGTTACCGTAGTACTTGAACCAATTTTCTGCTCAATGCATTCATTCTCGTTCAGTTTCTTGACAACTTGTGCATCATCATTGTACAATTCAATGATCAATGCAAGATTTCTATCTTGTTCTTTTCTACAAACACGTTTCCGCTACGCTGGCACTATGCCTTTCTAGCAAGGACAAACAAAGTCTATTCATGATAGTAATTGTACACCTGGAAATCGCTATACAAGAGATTGCCCTCCTCATCATAATGTAACAGATGGTAACACTGTTCACACAGAAAGGACGGATCCACAGCGAGCAGCTTATCGTGGTACACCACCCGTGTGCTTGCGTTCACATCGCACACACTGCAGCGGCGCAGGTAGCAGCGTGGCTCATGTGAGAGAAGGGGATATTCAGACGCGTTGAGCGGGTCGAGAGCATGCAGCAGGCGAATGTCAGTGATGTGAAAGGCATGCTTGCATGCACCCTGGCGGGAGTTACGGTGGGTGAGGGAGAAAAGCAGAGCAAATGAGAATGAAGCAAGGCATAAGGAGAAAGAGAGGAGAAAGCAGGAGAAGAAACACCATATGCTGAAGTTTGAAGGCAGGGGAGCAGTAGAGGAAGAAAGGATTCAGACAAAGGAAAGTCACCATTTGCATGTAACACACCTGGGGCATCAACAAGATTGTAACAGTTACCACCCCATCAGATCAAATTCACACCGGGTACATGCAACACGTTAACCCACCTTGTGTACGATTACGTAAGGGCAAGCTAAGAAAAGAAAAGAAAAACAAACAAAAACCAAATTTACCCAAACTGCACAAAGGAATTAACATGTGAATTCAGATCTTGCCCTTTAAAGTATTTTTAAATTGACTCAAGGTGACCTTTGAGTCGTCTCAAAAGTCACCTGTACGCATACTTCCAGCTGCACTGCCAAGACTCTAAACCGTGTGACAGCGCAGTGACACACTGGAGTACGCAGATAGTGATACCGTTGGAGCATGTAACTCACATGGTGCATTCAATGCCTTTGGTGGATGTAACACACACCTGTGCTACATATGGTAACATGGTTACCCACCTGGTGCATGTAGCAAGGTTACACACCTGGTGCATGTACACATAGAGCGCTCCTGGCCGCACAGTCAGGTCTCTGAACCGGGTCGTCTCCATTCTTGCAACTGAGTATTCCGGGGGAGGGGCGTCCCCTAGACTCAGCCGCACCCTCTGCTGCTGCTGATGGTGATGCAGCTGGTGGTACTGCTGATGCTGCTGCTGCTCCTGACGGGGCTGCTCGTGTTGCTGCTGCTGCTGACCAAAATGGGCCCCATCCTCTTGAAACGTGTGGCTGGTTCCCATTGATCCTACGCCACCCATAGCCATGCTGCGCACGGGAGCGGGCAGGGGCAGGCGGGCGAGGGGGGTGTTGCGGCGGCGCTCCCTCTCGTCCAGCATCGACCATGCCGCCCGCTTCTCCCTGTTCCACTTGACGATCACCGCACTGTACCGCACTGCACCAGGCTGCCGCATGTCGTCATAGAAAACGTCCTGACGATGGGGAGGCGTGTGAGAGAAGGGAGAGGAGGGTACCGGGGGGGAGAAACATGATAACACAGACACATGAGGGGTTGAGAAACAAGAGGGGGACAGAAACACGAAAGAGAAGAAGGAGAGGAAGAAACACGGGGGAAAGAACATGAGGGGGAGGGAGGAGGAAGGCCGACAGGCAAAAATGAATCTTGAGCACTTCTCAAAGCCATGTGGCAATAGAAGGTGTCATGGCATGGGGAAGGAAAGAATGTGGGCAGGGAGGGGTAAAGAATCTGGAAGACCGGCATGATGGATATTTGCAGCGGTGGCTATTCCAAGTCATCCGACCACATATAGCTGCACAACAGATGTTTCTGTTGGCAGATAGGTGACATGACAGTTGCCCATGAGGCTACACTGCAAGCTTTTGAGACTTAGCAGCTCCCAAAAGGAGGCTACACTGCAAGCTGTGAGCTGAGATGGGTAGAGCAGAGCATCGCATCACTCTCATCTCCTCCCTTCTCCCCTTCACTCTCACCTCCTGTCTCCCGTCGCTCTCACCTCGATGCAGAAGCACCCAGATGGCACCGACTTGCCGTGCTCCCTCGCGATCCTGTCCTGCAGGCAATATATGCGGTCCCTCAGAGCAGTGAGCGGCTGGCTTCCCAGCACTAGGAACTCCTGCCCCTGTGATGGAAAGAAAGGGAGGGGAAGGCAGAACAGGCATGGGAAGAGAATGGGAGGGTGACTACCTCCTCCATCGTGATTCTGTCCTGCAGGCAGCATATGCGATCTCTCAGATCAGAGCAGTCAGCGGCTGGCTTCCCAGAACCAAAACTCCTGACCCTGGAGTGACAGGGAAGGAGGAGAGGGAGGGAAGGGGTGAAATGGGCTTTTGACTTGCCATCCTCCCTCGCGATCCTGTCCTGCAGGCAGTATATGAGGTCCCTCAGAGCAGTGAGCGGCTGATAGCCTAGCAAGCACTAGGAACTCCTGCCCTGGCATGGCAGAACAGGCATGGGAAGAGAAGGGGAGGAACGGGAGTGTGACTCCCCCCTCCCTCGCAATCCTGTACTACACACAATAGATGCGATCCCTTAATGCAGTGAGCGGCTGGCGGCCCAGCACTAGGAACTCCCAACTCCCTGCCCAGCACTAGGAACTCCCAACTCCGAACTTCTGCACCTGAAGTACAAGCAAACAGTGAGACAGCCCTTTGACCTGCCATGCCATGCTGCTGCCTGACAGGCAGTAGATGTGGTCCCGCAATCGCCTGACAGGCTGGCTTTCCAAGAACCAGAAACATGTATCCGACTGACTCCCTCTCTCCCCATTACTCGCACATGGTCTATGTGGCTCCCTCGGAGCTGTGACTGAGGGGTCCGGCTTCCCAGCACCTTGGGAATAACAGGAAATGGAAGCAAGTGGGGAGCAACGGGAGTTTGATTCCCCCCTCCCGCACGCTCGTTCCTGCGGGCAGAGAATGCGCCCATCAGAACACCAAAGGGTCTTAGCTCACTCCAAGGAAAACACTTTTCACTGCAAGCAGACCGTACTCGCTGTAAGGAGTGCTGGCAGGCACTCACTTCAAGCCGGCCATCCCCCTTATAAAGCATCACAGTACTCACTTTGAGCTGCCGCTTCTCCTGCTGTAGCACCTCTACCCGAAGCACCACCTCCTGCTGTGCCTGCAGCACTCTGGAGGGCCCTGGGGTAAATGCAAAGGCGCCCTGAAGGAGAAAGTCAAGTAGGGCGGTAGGGGGAGTAGAGGTGGGAGCACAGGGGGAGAGAGGGCATAAGGGCAGGCAGCCCGGACCTTGTGGCACCTCCACTCGCAGAGCACCACCTCCTGCTGTGCCTGCAGTGCGAGGGCGCAACGAAAGGCAGCCCCTTGTGGCACCTCCCCCCGCAGCACCACCTCCTGCTGTGGCTGCAGCGCTCTGAAGGGCCCTGGGGTGAAGTTAAAGGCAGCCTGATGGGAATAGATGGTATGTGGAGGGGGTGGTGGGTGGAAGGGAGCAGGGGATGTGCGAGGGCTTTAAGAAAGGCAACCCCTTGAAGCACCATCACTCCATCCGCAGCACCACCTCCTGCTGTTGCTGCAGCGATCTGAAGGGCCTTGGTTTGAAGTTAAAGACGCCCTGGGAGAGATCAGGCGCGGGAGTAAGGGGTATGGTGTGGTGCGGAGGGGTTGAGAGTGAAAGAGGGTAGGCAATCCGTTCCTTGTGGCACCTCCTGTTGTGGCTGTAGCGCTCTGAAGGGGCCTGGGGTAAAGGTGAAGGCACCCTGGAAGGGAGTAGAGGGGGGTTGGTGAGAGAGTAGAGCGGGTAAGAGGACAGAAGAGAGGGGAGAGATGAGATGGATGAGAGGAGAGAATGGGAGGAAGAAGGAGGGGCTTAGGGTGTAAAGCAAAGGCGCTGTGAGGATAGGTAGCAGCAACAGGGGCTGAAACCGGGGGGAGGCGCGGGAAGAGGTTGAAGACCCGGGGGTTTGCTGGTTGGGATGTTGCGGAGGGGGAGGGGGGCAATGGCACAGAGGCACAAGGAGAAGCAACGAGGTGGAGTGGACAGAGGAGAGACACAGGGGAAGGGGAAAGGAGGTATGCGGAGGCATATCGCAGGAGCACAGAAGGCGCACGCACGGGTATCTTGGCAAAGATGAGATTGGGAAGGTTGGCACGGGCAAGAGCCTCTAACGGCCTCTTCGCCCCTCCCCTCCCTCCACCTCGCCCTCTCCCCCTGCTGCTCCCCCCTCTTCCCTGCGTCGCCCTGCTTCCGCCTCTCCCTCCTCTGCTTCCTCTTCTACCTCTCCCCTCCACTCCCCTACCACTGCCTCTCCCCCGTCTCCTCCGTCCTCCATCCCTTCGCCCCTGAATATCCTCCCAATCGTCCTCGTTTTCCTCCTCGTACTCCTCCTCCTCGTCCTCCCACCTGCCGCCCCTCCCTGGACCGCTGCTGCCCCTTTCCCCCTCCTCTTCCACACCCTCCTGTAGGTCCCTGCGCACACCACGAGGAATGAGGCAGGCAGAATTACCAGAGCGTCAGGTCAAATCCAGGAGAGAGAGACGAGAGGAAGAGGCAGGGAGGAGGGGGGAAACCGTCTTGTGGTGAATAGAAAATGACCCTCATCCTCCCAGCTCCCACCACCCTCCTCTCCCTCAATCACTGCCCCATTCCTTTGCCTTCTCCGGCTCCTAGAAGTAGTAGCAGCAGGAGGAGGGAGGGGCAACAAGAGGAAGCAAGCAGACGGGAAGGGTCTACGTACGAGGCAGCAGTAACCCCGCTTCCAACCGTCTTAGTAGCCCAAGCAGGAAAGACACGATGACTGATTGATTTTACTACTTAAGCTGAGTGATTCTCCCAGAGAGAGTGATTTTCCTGGAGGGGATGTGGCAGGGCAGAGGTCATTGTTGCTGCGTGGTTCAACGATAGTTGGCCACGGGGCAGCAAAGGGAGGTTGTATTATAATCGTCAAAAAGACAATCAGAGGAAGTGGTAACCCTACTGGAGGGATTTGACCCAACGGGAGGGAGTGGTAACCCCACTGGGGAAATTGCAGCGAGGCAGACGAGCCTGCATGGTTACCTACTAGAGAGAGCAAACTGTGAATCTACTAGAAATGAAACAGTATCAGATTCATAAAGCGGTTGGGGTGGTAACCCTATTTGGGAGTGGTAACCCTACTGCAGGGAGTGGAGCGAGGCAGAGGGCATGCACTGCATGTGAGCTCTCAAGATAGGTAACTACCAGAGCGAAGAAACGGTGATTCTTCTGAAAAGAGGGCGAGGCAGCCCCGCGGAGGGGTTGGTAGTAACAATATTTGGGAGGGTTATCCCTACCGTAGGGAGTGCAGCGGGGCAGAGGCCATGCAGTGCCTGCGCGTCTCAGCGATGCGCACAAGCCACTCCACTGTCAGGCGAGAGCGCAGCAGACGCGGGTCCTGTAGGGAAGGGCAGTGAGTGTGCAAGGAAAGCGGGAAGGATTGGTTTGGTTTTTTTTTCACACCTTTGAAACACCTCTTAACTTTTCCTCTTCCTTCAGCACGCATTCACTCATCCGACTGTCCATGCACGCATTCACTCACCCGCCTGTCCATGCTCCTCCCCAACCAGTTTTCCTCGCCTTAACCTTCTTGATAGCTCACCTTTTCCACTTCTTCCTCTCCCTTCAGCACTCGTCCACCCATCCGCCCGTCCATCCTCCTCCCACCGCTCCCCATCCCCGCATCCGCTGCCGGCCCTCCTCCCTCACCCCACATCCCCCCAACTCCCCTTGCGGTGCCCCCATCCCAGAAACTAACTCTCTTTTGTCTCTTCCTCCCTGCACTCACTCCCTCCCGCCCCTCTTCTCCCTCCTCCCCGGCCTTGCCCCTGCCTCCACCTACCCACCATCCCCAACCCTGTCCCCAGCCAGGGGGAGGTGGTATATGACCTGATCCAGGGGGGGGTGTTATCTGTCCCCAACCAGTGGGTGGTGGTATCTGACCCGATCCCGGAGCAGGTGGTATCTGTCCCCAGCCAGGGGGAGGTGCTGTCTGGCGCTGCTTCAACTTCTGGAAGTCAGCAGGTGTCATGTTGGTAGGAGGGCGAAACGTGGGGTTCCATGAAGGGTGATTGGGCGTGACAGAGGGGTTGTTAGATGGGCGTTGACTGGGCGGTATGGCCTGGTGGTGCCAAGGCAGCATAGCAGGGTGCCAGGGGAACGAAGGCGGGAGAGGCGGGAGTGAGGCGCGCGGAGGGAGAGAGGGAGCACGGGGTTGGGGAGGAGAGGGAGAGAGAGAAGGGGGTGGAGTGAGAGAAGCAGGGTGGAGATGGGAATGGGATGGAGGATGCATGGGGTGGGAGGGTTGAGCTGGTGCGGGGACGAGAGGGAGTGAGGGAGGAGGTGAGTCATTATCCACTGCTTCTGCTGCTGCCTCTTCCTGATTCCACTCAATCAACCGCGTTTCACCCATCTCAACCCCTTCACCAACCCCTCCTCCCTCCTCCCAGCTCTCCTCCTCCCATCCCAGCACCCCTCCTCCCCCGCCCTCACACGTCCCCTCTGACAGGCGAGTATCGGGGGAGAGGCACGGCAGGGAGAGCGGCGAGGAGGGGAGAGGAGGCGGAAGAGGCGACATGAACGGTGAGGCGTGGGTGTCTGCTGCTGTGTCTGATCCAGGAGCACCCACCCCGCCTTGTGTTACCATCACCATGTGCTCGTTGTCATATGCCATATGCTCATACGATTCAGAAGCAGCTCCATCATGAGCCGCGAGTGCAAGAGCCAGGCTCTCTGTGTCTGTATCCCCGTCGTCGGTGGCTCTCGGCTCGCTGTTACCATGATGCATCACACGTGCATCATCCAGACTCTCTCTATCCCCGCCTTCTGCTTCCACATGCCGCAGGACATGCATGGGCTTTGCATGTCTACATGCAGTGCCTGCATGAGCGAGAGCAGCGGCATCACCGGCTGTAGCTTCAGCGTCAACCGTTCGAAGAACAAGGGCTTGATTGTCAGCATCCACGTCAGCTGTGGCATCCACGTCAGCTGTGGCATCCACGTCAGCTGTGGCATCACCTGTAGCATCGGCTGTAGCACCAGCAACAATGGCAGCCCCACGTTCATCTGTAGCGCCAGCAACAATGGCAGCCCCACGTTCATCTGTAGTGCCAGCAACAATGGCAGCCCCACGTTCATCTGTAGCGCCAGCAACAATGGCAGCCCCACGTTCATGTGTAGCGCCACCAGTGCCAACCGTGTGAAGGCAAGGAGCATGCACATCGGCATCATTAGCGGCAGCTGTAACAGCATCAGACGCACTTGTAATTGTATCAGCTGTAGCGCCATATCCATCTGTAGCTTGAGCCGAAGCAGCTGTAGCGGCGCGTTCAGCTGCAGCATTAGAGTTTGCGATTGCGGCGGCACATTCAGACGCAGCAGCGGCATCCGTGGTAGTGGCAGCAGCATGAGGTGAAGAAGCTACGGCTACCGCATCAGGTTTGGCTGTAGCAGCAGCAGCATCTGTGGTGGCAGCAGTGCCAACATCGTTATCAGCAACATCAGCAGCAGCTGTAGCGACAGCAGCATTATTAGCAGCATCAGCTGCAGCAGTTGCAGCAGCAGCAGCAGCAGTGGTAGTGGTGGGAGTAGCAGCTGCTGCAGCAGCAGCAGCAGTGGCAGCAAGGGGAGGGCGAGGCAGGGGGGGCGCAGGAAAGGGGAGGGAAGCGGTATGGGGCGAGAAAGGCACGAAGGGCGGAAAGGGCACGGGGAAGAGGAATGGGGGAAAGGGATGAGCGGAGGACGAAGGTCCTGCAGGAGGAGGTGGACGAGAAGGGGGGTTAGAGGATGCATGCGAGGGAAAAGGAGGAGGCCGGGGCGGCCACAGGTGGGGATGCAGGAGCCAGGGAGGGGGCGGGTGTGCGGCAGCATTGAACAGGAAGGGTGGTACGTTGGGTGGAGCATGGGAGGGTGCATGGGGAGGCAGGGAGTAAGCACCGGGCCCTTGCATTCGGTTTGCCATCAGGTGTTGCTGTTGGAGGGAGTGGGTGGAGGCGGTGTGGGACAGGGACGGGAAGGGAATGCCAAACGCCCTCGCTGCCATTTCATACAGCTCCAGAGCCCTCCTCTCATTCTCCCTCTCACTCTCCTTCTCTTTCTCATCCTCCTTCTCACTCTCCCCATTCTCCTTCTCACCCTCCTTCTCACCCTCCTCATTCTCCTTCTCGCTCTCCCCATTCTGCTTTTCTCTCTCTTTCTCAATCTCTCCCCTTTTCTCATTCCCCACGTCCCCTTCCTTTCCTCTCTCTTGCTGCTCCCTGCCTGCTTCCCTCAATGCCTCACCCCCCTCCTCCCTCTCCATCCCTCCATCTCCCCTCTCCCTTTCCACATCCCTCCCACCATCCTTCTCCTCTTCTCTTACCATCCTTCCCTCTCCTCCCACCTTCCTCATATCCTCTCTTTCTCCCCCTTCCACCGCCCCTTCATCCCTTCCCATCGCCCCTTCATCCTTTTCCTCCTCTGCCCCAGCAGCACCCTCTTGGACACACACTCCCTCCTCCATCCCCTCTTCCCCCCCCCCCTCCTCTACCCCCATCCCCTCTTCCTCTATCCCCCCCTCCATCCCCTCCTCTCCCTCGTGCTCTACCTCAATTCTCTGCATGTGTGCCCTGCCAGATCCACTCTCCTTGCCTTTGTGGTGCGCCGGTGGCTCTGCAGCCTTCCCAGTTGACTGTTTGGACTGCGTTGACCTTCCCGGCTGCGTTGACCTTCCCGGCTGCGTTGACCTTCCCAGCTGCGTTGACCTTGCTCCTGACTTTGCTGACTGCGTTGACTGCTTGGACGACCAGAGGTAAGGCACAGTGGCAGCCACAAGCTCTTCCATGGAGGGGATGATGAGATCATGCACGCTGGAGGAGAGGGAGAGGGAGGGAGGGTGGGGATAGGCGGACGGAAAGAGTGAAGGGGAAGGGGGGGAGGAGAGAGGGAAGGCACGGTGGCAGCCACAAGCTCTTCCATTGAGGGGATGATGAGATCGTGCACACTGCGAGGGGGAGAGAGAGGGGGAAGGGCGGAAGTGGGGGAACACACTTTAGCAGCGCAAGACATTGGCACGGGGAGAGAGGACCAACAGCAGAGGTAAGGCACAGTGACGGCCACAAGCTCTTCCATGGAGGGGATGATGAGGTCGTGCACACTGCGAGGGGGAGAGGGAGATGGGAGAGATGGGAGAGAGGGGAGAGAGGGGATAGAGGGGAGAAATCTGAGGCACTTGGTTGCAAGGCCAGAGGTAAGGTACAGTGGCGGTCACGAGCTCTGCCATAGAAGGGATTATGAGATCGTGCACTGGGGGAGGACGGGGGAGGGGGAGGAGAGAGGGGTGGAGAACGGTTGGGGTGGATCGTGTGTGCAGCAGCAGACAGCAGCCACGAGCTCGGTCTTCCGTAGAATAGATTATGAGATCATGCACACTGGGGGAGAGGAACAGCGGGATGGAGAGGAAAAGGGAGGAGAAGAGAGGGATGGGGTGGATGGTGCAGCAGCAGAGTGCAGCCACGAGCTCTTCCATTGAAGGGCAGCAGAGGGGTGGAGAACGGTTGGGGTGGATGGTGCAGCAGCAGACAGCCACGAGCTCTTCCATGGAGGGGATTATGAGATCGTGCACACTGGGGGAGGGGGGAGAGAGTGTGTGCGAGACGAGACGGGAGAAGGGGGAAAGGTGACATGAGGTTGCCCTGAATCGACACAACTAACCCACTTCTGGGAGGCACCAAAAGACCACCCACCTGCGTCACCTGAGGAGAGAGCTGAAACTTACCAAAGACATGAAGAATCACCTGAGATTCACCTGAGGGATCACCTGATGTCCCTATCTGCCAGACGCGCTCCTTCCACCGCCTCACATGCGTCCAACGCACTGCAGAGGTCCTGACGGGATATAGAGCGGGTCGATATGGGGGAGGGGACGATATGGGGGGGGGGCGATATGAGGGGGGACGACATGGGGAGGGACGATATGGGGGGGGACGGATATGGGGGGGGGGGAGAGATATGGGGGGGGACAGATATGGGGGGGATGGGGAGGGACGATATGGGGGCGCGCAAGTGGAGAAAGAGGGGGGTGGGGGAGAGGGGGGGTTGTGAGGGTGGGAGGATGGAAAAAGGAAGGGGTTTGCGGTATAAGGGGGGCCGACGACAAGGGGGATGGGAGAAGGAGCGGGGTTCGACATAGGATTCACCTGTCGGCTCACAAGTGACTCACGCTGAGTCCGCCTGTCAGCTTTGCTTGCCCCTATCGCTCTAAAATCCGTACGCGCAATAAGACTACTCTTTATCGAACCATTACTCGCACTGAACTCGCACGATGCGCCTCATACACTTTCTTCTACTGCTAATGTCTTCAATCCAAGGAAAGCCAGCTTTCCTCGTCAATCTGCCAACTGTCACTAATGTATCTATCTCTGTCACTGAATCAATCCCTCTCCCACCTGCACTAGCGCCTGGCACTGCTGCTCGAACTCCGCCACGTGTACCGCCTTGTAAGCGACACGTGGCAGCATGATCGCGGCGGCCGGCGCGCCGACCACCGCCATATCTGCGCGCTGCAGCTGCTCCGCGCGCAAGCCGCCTCCGTCACCTCCGCCGCCGCCGCCGCCGCCGCCGCCGCCGCTACCGCATACGCCTCGCTCCTCTCCTCCGCCAAGCCCGGCGGAAGCTGCGCCGCCATCCTTTCCGGTATCGCTCGCATTGGCGCTCCGCCTGGTCATCCGCTGCTGACAACGAAATTGGCTAGAGATTACGTGGCGCGTTCTCTGATTGAAACCGCGGTGGTGTGTATATACTTATATTGGATGCACGAACTTTTTCAACGGTCATTTTTGGGAACCCCTGGTTTCAAACAGCCATCTTCATTTCAGGAAGCTCGGTAGGCTTACTACACCCTAAATGGAACAGTTTATTTCTCGAGCCATTATCCAACATCAACATGATTGGATTGGAACCGATGAGCATGTAGGAGAAAAACATGCCATGATGAATTTACGTAGTCTCTACAAATTATGTCAAGTATTACAACAGTGTTCATAACCCTGGTGCACACTCATGAACCAAGTGATATACCATGTAGCAGTCCTATCAAGTACTTGTTTTTATGCTAACAAATAAAAGGCAATTATTACTTCATATTAGTAGTTGAACCACACAAGAAGCCTTCATGATATCGTGACCCCTAAAGAGCACATTCTGAAACGTGTGGTACAGCTGCTACTGCACCATGACACCTCACTAGCCAAAGCACACACAAACACATCTACGGTAATTACATATACCTAGTGCTTTGGTTGGACCCATGCCATCTAACGACAGGGCTCCACTAGGACGTATCCCAGGTCCATGGCGAAGTAATCTAAAGCTAAGGCACCTAAGATTAGGGGTGCAAGAAGAACCCCTTGGGCTTTTACTCTCCCTTGACTCTCCCACCCACTACCAGCAGCTGCATCGCCTACACTCTTACGTGCTTGCACCATAACTTTGAGCCGTGCAAGGTTATCGCACGAGGCTAGGGCATGTAAGGCGAGGCGTGCACGACAGACCTCTTGCCTCTCACACACCAGCAGTTAGACCTCCCCTCTACTGCGGTTGAAGCATAAGTTAGAGTGAGAGAGGCAGTCACTCGTTGCCGGCAGGTCTAACAGCAGCTGTGTGGCTTCCTCTCTCGTGTGCTTCACAGGGCGCCAGCCAAAGCCCAGCATGGAGGGAGCAGCAGCAGCAGCAGCAGCATAGTAGCAGCACAGGTGACCCAGAAACTGCAGTGCCATCTAGGGCCAGGGGTGTATAAAGAAGCCCTTGGCCCTCAAATCTACCAGCAGTTGTGTTGCCTGCTCCCTGGTGTGGTTGAAGGGACGCCACCCAAAGCCCAGCACAGAGGGGTGCGAGTAATGCACCTCCACGAATATCTCATCCACTATTGCTGGCATTTCCGGGTCTTGCAGCCAATCTGTGCGGGGTTGATTGTAAGGGGTTCAGAGGGTGTAACATGTAAGAAGGCTTGAGGAAACCTGACAGGCCAGCACAGAAGGGGGTGCGTAGTGCACCTCCACAGATATTTCGTCCACTATCTCTGGCATGCCTGGGTCTTGCAGCCTTGCTGTGAGGGATTGACAAGGGGCGACCAAGAAGGGGGTCACATGAGAGATCAGGCAGCACGGAGGGGTGTGAGTGGTGCACCACCAGTGTGTCTCCTGCTGTGAGCCCAAGCAAGTTCTCTGAGGAGAGGCTGAAGCAAGGGGTTGAGCCAGCAGCAACTGCTGCATGCACACAGATTGACACTTACCCGGCAGCACATCCCACTCCTTGCCCTCTATGTCCATCTTCACCACCAGCGTGTCCCCTGCTGTGAGCCTGGCATGTGCTGTGAGAGACAGAGAGAGAGAGTGCTATATGCACACAGATTGACTCACCAGGTAGCACGTCCCACTCCTTGCCCTCTATGTCCATCTTCACCACCAGCGTGTCCCCTGCTGTGAGCCTGGCATGTGCTGTGAGAGACAGAGAGAGAGAGTGCTATATGCACACAGATTGACTCACCAGGTAGCACGTCCCACTCCTTGCCCTCTATGTCCATCTTCACCACCAGCGTGTCCCCTGCTGTGAGCCTGAGGACGTCCTTGATGAACCGAGTGATGTTCACGTGCTTCTGCACACGTGGGTAGAGGGGATGGGTGGCATACGGACGCAGTGAGAGGGGTGCCACAGCGTGGCACATCACCACTGGAGTGTCTCCTGCTTTTGAGTCTCCTGCTGTGAGCCTGAGGACGTTCTTGATGCTTCTGCGGACGTGGTGTGGGGATAACATGCACCCATGCACACACACAAACACACGGAAAGGCAGAATGAGTGAGAGGGCTGCACGAGGCCACAGAGTGCCACAGAAGCAGCAGCGTGTCCGCTGCTGTGAGTCTGCAACCACGAGCACGACCTTGATCAAGCGAGTGCCGGTCTACACATGGATCCTGTCTGCCATCCACTTGGGCACTGGGGGGGGCTCTATAGCCTTCTCTTATATACTCGTTGTAAGTGCACCTGCCACACTCACATGGTGATCCGAATTGTCCACAAAATCGTTATAGTTCTGCCCGCCATCCAGTTGGGCACGGGGGTGGGGGGCTCTATATCCTCCACACGTACTCGTTATAAGCAGACTCGTGATACCACTCACATGGTAATCCGTGTTGTCCACAAAGTCGTTATAAATATGGATCCTGTCCACCATCCAGTTTGGAACTGGAGGAGGCTCGTCCCCCCGCCAGAACACCGACACCTTCTCGAGGCGCTTTCTTGGTAGGATCTCAGGGTATTGGGCCTAAAAAGGTTAATGAAAGAGGGGAGGGGGGAAGAGAAGAGAAAACAGGGGAGGAGAAGGAAAGAAGAACGGAGTAACGACGGTTTGTTCCCACGCCAAAACACTGACACCTTCTCGAGCCTCTTTCTTGATTGAATTTCAGAGTATTGGTCATGAAGGAGAGGCGAGGAGGGGAGGGCGGAGGAGAGGAGAGGAGAGGCGAGGAGAGGAGAGGAGAGAGGAGAGGAGAGGAGAGGAGAGGCGAGGAGAGGAGAGGAGAGGCGAGGAGAGGAGAGGAGAGACGAGGAGAGGAGAGGAGAGGCGAGGAGAGGAGAGGAGATCAGAGAGGAGGGGGGAGGAGAGGAGGGGCGAGGAGAGGAGGGGAGAGGAGAGGAGCAGAGAAGAGGAGGGCAGAGAAGAGGAGGGGAGAGGAGAGGAAGGGAGAGGGGGAGGGCCGAGGAGAGGAGGGGCGAGGAGAGGAGGGGAGAGGAGAGGAGAGGAGGGGAGAGGAGACGAGGGGAGAGGAGAGGAGGAGAGAAGAGGAGGGGAGAGGAGAGGAGGGGAGAGGAGAGGAGGGGCGAGGAGAGGAGGTGAGAGGAGAGAAGGGGAGAGGAGAGGAGGGGAGAGGGGAAGGTGAAATAGAACGGATAAGGAAGGCTAGTTCCAACAGAAGCACCCTAGCCTCGTCTAGGGATTCATCATGCGATTACTGCTGCCCTCCACCAACCGATTTCTACGACGTTCCACCCACTTTTATCCCTCTCACCTCATCATCCTTCTCCTGCCTAGGCGGCAGCAGGAACAACCCCTTCATGACTTCACACACATGCACCTCCGTGAAATCCAGAGGGTAGTGTTGCCCTTCACCGCACTCCACCGCTACCCACCTCATTGTCTTGCTTTTGTCTGTCTGGTAGCAGGAACAGCCCCTTTTTGACCTCACACGCATGCACCTCTGTGAAATCCACTGCTGCATGTCAACCACTTCCAACCGCATTCCACCCACCTCGTCGCCCTGCCCCTGCCTGGGCGGCAGCAGGAAGAGCCCCTTCTTGACCTCAACGACATGCACCTCCATGAAATCCAGGGGGTCACTGCTGCCCTCCAACCCCATCCCACCGCACTCCACCACACTCCACCGGCTTCCACCCAGTCCCACCCCTCTCACCTCATCACCCTTCTTCTGCCTAGGCGGCAATAGAAACAGCCCCTTCTTGACCTCAAACACATGCACCTCCGTGAAATCCAGAGTCCAGTGCTGCCCTCCAACCCCATCCCACCGCACTCCACCCACTCTTCTCACCTCATCATCGTGCTTCTGGCTGGGGCGGCAGCAGGAACAACCCCTTCTTGACTTTGAAGACATGCACCTCCATGAAATCAAGGGAGTAGTGCGGCCCTCCAACCCCATCCCCACCGCACTCCACCCACTCTTCTCACCTCATCATCTTTCTTCTGCCAGGGCGGCAGCAGGAACAGCCCCTTCTTGACTTCAAAGACATGCACCTCAGTGAAATCCAAAGGGTAGTGTCTCCCTCCAACCCCATCCCACCGCACTCCACCCATTCTTCTCACCTCATCATCCTTCTCCTGCCTCGGTGGCAATAGAAACAGCCCCTTCTTGACTTGAAACACATGCACCTCAGTGAAATCCAGGGGGTCACTACTGCACTCCACCGCACTCTACCCACCTCATCATCCTGCTCTCGTCTGTGTGGCAGCAGAAACAAGCCCTTCTTGACCTCAAACACATGCAACTCCGTGAAATCCAGGGGGTAGTGTCTGAGCATCCACAGCACGCTCGAATTGAACTCCTTTCCTCCCAAGTCTAGGTACACCCGACGCTGTCTGGAAGGGGAGGGATATATGGGGTAGGGTGGTGGGGCAAAGGAAGGAAAAAGGAAGGAATGGGAGGGAAGCAACAGAGGAGGGGGTAGTGCCTGAGCATCCAGAGCACACTCGAGTTGAACTCCTTGCCTCCCAAGTCTAGGTACACCCGGCGACGTCTGATGGAGAGAATGGGCGGTGGGATGGGGATGGGAGCGATGGGGAAGGGGAATGGTGCAGAGGGTAGTGTCTGAGCATCCACAGCGCGCTCGAGTTGAACTCCTTTCCATTCCACCTAGATCCAGGTATACCCACCGGCGCCTGCATGGGGAGAGGTATGGGAGGGGGGGTAGGAGGGGGGGTAATGAGGCAGAGTGGAAAAGGGAAGGATTAGAAGGGAAGCACTAGAGGAGGGGATAGTGCCTCAAGCGTCCACAGCACGCTCGAGCTGAACGCCTTGCCGCCCAGATCCAGGCATACCCTATGGCGCCTGCACGGGAGACAGTGGGATAAGGCAGGGCACTCATGATGTGGGAAGAAAGAGCAGAAGGGGGTAGTGTGTGAGCATCCACAGCACGCTTGGATTGAACTCGTTGCCTGCCAGGTTTAGGTACACTCGACGGCGCCTGAAAAGGGAGAGGTATAGTGGGGGGAAGAGGGTAATGCTGCAAGGGTAATGCTGCAAGGGTAATGCTGCAAGGGTAATGCTGCAAGGGTAATGCTGCAAGTGCAAGGGTAATGCTGCAAGGGTAATTCTGCAAGGGTAATTCTGCAAGGGTATAGGTGGAGGGCGGCACGTCCAAGCAGTGCTCGGCGTCCGACCTTACCCATACACATGCCTCACACCTTACCCATACACATGCCTCACACCTTACCCATACACATGCCTCACACCTTACCCATACACATGCCTCACACCTTACCCATACACATGCCTCACACCTTACCCATACACATGCCTCACACCTTACCCATACACATGCCTCACACCTTACCCATACACATGCCTCACACCTTACCCATACACATGCCTCACACCTTACCCATACACATGCCTCACACCTTACCCATACACATGCCTCACACCTTACCCATACACATGCCTCACACCTTACCCATACACATGCCTCACACCTTACCCATACACATGCCTCACACCTTACCCATACACATGCCTCACACCTTACCCATACACATGCCTCACACCTTACCCATACACATGCCTCACACCTTACCCATACACATGCCTCACACCTTCTCCTCACACCTTCTCCTCACACCTTCTCCTCACACCTTCTCCTCACACTTTCTCCACCCACTTTCTCCACCCACCGTCTCCCCATGGCTGGGTCTTGTAAAGCCCTGAAGTACGGCAGCACGTGCAGGCGGTCCTCTGCGTCTCCTGTGTGCCTCAGAGCATAGCCCCGGCGGAAGTTGAGGTGCGGCTCCAGCTGCTCTATCTGTAACCCTGCTACCGTGCATGGGGATGGGGGTGGTATGGCCTGGTGGTTGGTGCCAGGTGCGAGTTGAAGGGGAGGAGGGCACAGGACAGGAGGGAGGAGGAGAGGTGAAGTTGAGATGCGGATCTAGCTGCTCTAGCCCTGCTCGTCTCCTGTGTGCCTCAGAGCATAGCCCCGGCGGAAGTTCAGATGCGGCTCCAGCTGCTCTATCTGGAACCCTGCTACCGTGCATGGGGAGGGAGGACGAATTGCCTGGAAAGGGTACAGCACAGGGAAGAAGGAGGGAGAGACAAGGTGAGGTGCGGATCCTGTTGCTCTATCTGTAGACCTGCTAACGTGCAGGGGGATGGGGGTGGTATGGCCTGAAATGGGTACAGGGGGGTGCATAGGGGAGAGGGAGAGGTGGAGTTGAGGTGCGGCTCGAGCTGCTCTATCTGCAGGCGTGCTACCGTGCAGGGGGATGGGGGTGGTATGGCCTGGAAAGGGTACAGCGGAGCGCACAGGGGAGAAGGCGAGTTGAAGGAAAGAGCAAGAGATAAAGGTAAGGTGCAGCTGCAGCTGCGCTATGTATGAACCTGCTTCTGTACATGGTGATGGGGGTGGTGTTGCCCGGTGGTTCCAGTTTTCCAGTCGACTTAAAAACAGGTGATGGGGGTGGCATTGCCCGGTGGTTACCAGAGGTGAGTTGAAGGCAAGGCGAACGCACCATCGTGTGATACCCTCTACCCCATCACCCCCCAACTCACTTTCATGAGCGCCTACTGGTCCGTGCGAGGCGCGTTCCACCGCCTCCCCCAGTGAGCAGCAAGGCGGAGAAGCAATAGCACCTTCAATCACGACCGTATGCCCTCACAGTTAACCCCATCACCCCCCCCTCCTCTCACCTTCATGAGCGCCCATGGGTTTAGGGTAGCACTGGTGCCCTGTGCGCCCCTCCACCGCCTTCCTGAGCGACGCGGGGTAGCACTGACACCTTACAAATACCCTCACAGTCACCCCCATCACCCCACTCGCACCTTCATGAGCGCCCACGGGTCCGTGTGCCCCTCCACCGCCTCTCTGAGGGAGGCGGGGAAGCACTGGCATCTTCATTCTACCCTCACAGCCACTCTCATTACACACCACGCAAGCCCCCTCACCTTCATGAGCGCCCATGGGTCCGTGCGCCCCTCCACCGCCTCCCTCAGAGAGGTGAGGAAGCCCTGGCACCTTCTCTATAGTACCACACTTATCCTCATTATAGCCCGCCCCTTCATAACATCTTCCTCACCTTCAGGAGCGCCCACGGGTCCGTGCGCCCCTCCACCGCCTCTCTGAGCGAGGCGGGGTAGCGCTGGCGGTGCCAGCAGGCCGCTTCCGCGGGCACATGAACGGGGCCGCGCGGATAGAGGGGGGAGTTGAGCAGCGTGGGGGAGGCTGGCGGGACGGGGGGTGGGGGAGAGGGAGGGTGGGGGAGGAAGGGGAGGGGAGGTTTGTTGGGGAAGCGGAAAGAGAAAGAGATTTGATTCGACTCAAAAGGCAGCGGGAGTCTGGGCGGGGTCGTGGGAGGGGGCTGGCGAGGGTGGGAGGGGGATCGGGGGGGGAGCGGGGGAAGAGAGAGCTTGAGTCGTCTCGAAACGCAGCGGGTCGCTTCAAAGGACTGATACGAGCATGAAACGACTGATACGAGCATGAAACGACTGATACGAGCATGAAACGACTGATACGAGCATGAAACGACTGATACGGAGTACCTGGACCATAAGGCCTCACGGACCAGGACGGCCTCAAGGAAGAGGAATGCCTGGACGAATGAAACTCGGCAACAACGATCCCCGCACGCAGGGCAGGACAGCTTGCGGTGCGACTCAGCGTTCATCGCGACGCACCTTGCAGCGGCACAGTACCTTGCAGGCTCGACGTGCCGCTGATGGCACTGCTGGTGCTTGTATCGGGGTTGCGCGTTTGAAGCAGGAGGAGGAAGTTGAGGAGCGTGGATATGACCGCCCACGCCACGATCAGCACCCGCCTGCTCTTGTGCGGCCTCGCGGCGTCCTGAACCGCCATCGTGACTGCTGTGCGGTGCTTTGCGGGGCTATGTGCTGCTGTGCGATTCTGTGCGGGGCTATGTGCTGCTGTGCGATTCTGTGCGTTTTTGTGGGGTCTGTACGGCGCTGTGTAATGCTGATCCAGGTGAAATGCTGAGAGCTGATCTGCTGTACTATTGCGCTCGATGCCGTTGATTGGAAACGATCTCCGAAGTACTACGCATACCTCGTTGTGAACACTGATAAAAGCACGAGCAAGCGACCACTACGTCAATTTCCTACTTAGCCTGCAAAACATGAAGTGAGGTGCTATCCAATGCATCCCATAACTGTACTTCTGTGTTGAGTAGCTGAGTCGAGTCGGCCTGGGATGGCCTAACTACAACGCGTGGATAACACCTGGGGCTTCTCATTTGGTATTGATGCTTTATCCATAGATCCAAGCTGCTGCCATAACTCGGTTCCGTGCAAATGGAAACTAATATTACCAGAGGGTAAGAGGAAGAACCGAGGCACAGCCCTGAGTTGTCGGAGATGTGCAAACGACACACGATACTCCACCATAACTTTGCGAACCCTTTTCAACCGAACTAAAACATACCACACCTGGATAATGATGAAAAATGCTTTCCTTGATTTTTGAATGCCGAATCAGATGTGGTGTACCAGCCACCGACAGCGGCTGTTCGTTCGCCTGTCGAATCACGGAAATTTGTCCGTTTTACCTGAGAATTCAGGGTTAGTTTTAGATCATCTCGGAGATTTTCAGGGCTTGTTTTTCCCTGTCCTGGATTCCTCACGGACAGGTTTTGCCCAACCCCCGGATTTCCGGTACATCCCCTCCCCCCCCCCCCCCCACTTTCTTCCTGACTCTAGAACGCGAACTTCCTCCTCCCCTCCCCTTGCAAGAGCATCGCCCTCCCGGCTTCCCTAGCGTGCTCTGCTCTCTTTTGTATGGATAGTTCGAATAGCTTCCATTTTTACGCATGTATGCTCCGAGACGGAAATAGGTATGGCCTGCATTTAAGGGCTGGATTCGTCCGCTTCCTGGATATTTTAGGGCTGTTTTTGGGCCAGCTCTGCTTCTTACGGATTGGACCCAGACCAATCGACAGCACTCGGACACCCAGCGACGCGGCGAACCAGGCCCAGGTCTGGAAACTTGATTTGGGAGACGCTGCGGGCGCGGGAAAACAACTACACCCCATTGGCTTGTCAGAGACAGTGAATAATGTAACTTGGCGATTCAGTCAACAACATCCACGTCGCAAAACCGTCGTCAAAATCCTGGACGACATTCGAAGAGGGAAATGGTAACATTCTGAAGAGTTTCGCACTGTTTCAGCATACAGTATATTTGAATCAGGATTTCAGCCACATTACTCCCTAGGTGGGTTTTCCCTACATCGGGTTTCCCATGCCCATCTCCTCTTCTCCCTTCCAGAATCCAGGCCGCTAGCCTTGAAGTCATCATAGGTTCAGTCCACGAATTCTCAATCCAGGTGACTAGGAGCAGACAGCTCACGCCCAGGCAGCCACTTCAAACCATCAACTCCTGGTTGGTTGAGCTCCGTGTCCGTAGGAGACGAAACCCCGGCGTTTCATTCGTCTCCATTTCTCCAACACACATCGATAAACGCTCGTCGCCATAGCTGTTCGTTGATGAATCTTCCCTATCGCGAGTAGTATGAGCCAGGTTACCACGTCGTCGCTGCGACGGGCCGGAATTCCCGTGCCGAGTCGCATGGCGTTCTCGTCAGTCTTCCAGAATGAAGTGTTCCTTCTCAGCCCAACCCTCTCGCCCGACATTCGAGACCGCTTATATCGAATCATCATGGCGGGAGGCGGCACGGTCATCAGCGACGCGTCACGCCACGCGTCGGCGATCATCGTGAAAGCTCACGGCAGCACGGACCAATCGCAACCGCCATCGCATCCGTCGCATTCGTCGCATCGCGTGGTCTCGTCGCATTGGGTGTTTAGGTCGCTTCAAGCCAATCGCGCGGTCGACCCCTCCTCCCATCTCGTTCTCCGTCCCCTCCCCTGCACAATACCCCTCCCGGGAATAAAATCCTTCCAATTCTGCGTCTCGATGTACGGTGGCACGCGGCGCACCAACATCCTCTGTCTCTGCGTCGCGCTCGGGGCAAACCCGACGGAGAAACTGGACCGTCGGATCTCGCATCTCGTCTGCTCCGTGGCGTCCGGGGAAAAGTACGAGCGCGCGATGCAGTGGGGTAACGTGGCGGTGGTTACCGAGGAGTGGCTGCACGCGTGCGTGCGAGCCAATGGGATCGTGCCAACTGGACCGTTTCACCCTCCGCCGCTGAGTCTCAGCCAGCTGGAGGGGGGCCGGTTTCCCGTCACCCAGGGAGGCGCGCAGGCCGTGCGGAGGGGAGAGTCTGCGGGGACAGAGGAGGCTACGGGGAGGGGAGAAGCCGCGGGGAAGGGAGAGGCTGGGGGGGAGGGAGAGGGTGTGGGGAAGCGGAAGGCTGAGGGGAAGGTCTGGGGGAAGTTGGAGTTTCCGGGGCGAGGGGACACCGTGGGAGCTGGCGGAATGTCACATGGTGGGGAGTTCGCAGGGGCACGGGCTGCAGGGAACGTTGCAGGGGCACTAGGGGGAGTCTCAGGGGTAGCAAGGGTAGGAGAGGCGTTAGAGGGAGGAGATGTTGTGAGAGCAGCTGCGACAGCGGCTGATGGAGGAAGGGGATGGAAGGAACCGGATCAAATGGAGTGGATGGCGAAAACAGGGCGAAATGAGTGGCTGGCAGGGGGTGATGGGGTTACCAGGGACGGCGACAGGGTTGATAGGGCAGTGCACGAGGGGAAAGGCGATCATGGATTCAATGTAAGGGACAGGAATGATGGGGATGCACAAGAGAAAACTCAAGAGAATCGAGAAAGTGAGGAGAATGAGGGGAACATGAGGAAGAGAGCGAGGCAGATGGAGGGAAATGGCGACTGTGGATCAGAGGGAGCAGCTGCGAGGACGGTGGGAGATGGCATGGTGGTGGGTGCGGAAGAGAGTCGATTTGTCGACCCGGCTCATCCCAATGCTCGTGCTGCCTGTGCGTCCGCCCCTGGCGTATACACCACTGCTGACGCCTCCCCTGCTGCTGCTGCTGCTGCTGTTGCTGCGGCTGCTTCTGCTGTGGTTGGAGAGGAGGATGGAAACGGGAGAGGGGGACGTAGGAAGCGAAGTGGGGAATCGAGGCAGAGGGGTGAGGAAGAGGGGTTGGCAACGGTGGTGGACGGTTCGGGGAGCAGAGGAAGGGAAGCCGCGGGCAGTGGAAGGGCCAGGACTGCATCTGATAGGTCTGAGAATGGTCTCTTTGGGCGGGCTGGGTGTGATGGTGATGCCGATAGGGTTGATGAGTGCGATGTTGATACAGATGGAGATGAGAAGTTTCCCTGTGACACTGCCAGACGGGATTGTGCTGGCCATGGGGAGGGCACGGAGGGTGCTGCTGGTAATCATCCTGATCCAAATACTGCTGGTGGCGGTGCTGGTGATGATGGTGGTAACCGCAACGCCTGTAACACTCGTGGAGGCAGAGCAAGGAATGGTGCAGGAGGGGGAGACGGAGCAGGGGGGGATGGAGCAGGGGGGGATGCGGCTTATGGTGTTGCTGAGGAATCCGGCAATGAGGGGGATCTAGCGTCCGCCATTGAGAATCTTATCACCTCCACCTCTGGCATGCATGGCGAAAGGGTGTCTTCCACTCTTTACCCCGAAAATGGCAGGAGCTTTCACAGCAGCAGCCAGGGGAGTCACAAGGGTGTCACGGAAACAGCGTTTGCCGATCCAGCCGCCAAGAGAACTTCTCGGAAGGTTCCGCTTTCTCAGATTAAGGGGCAGGCGCTTGTGCTATCACATCAGGTCCGGGGAAGGAGTGGGGTGGGGGGCGTGGGGATGGGGTTTGGAGCTGGGTTGGGAGCGGTGCTGACAGGTAAGGTGCACGGTGGGAGCACAGAGCAGCATGAGAGGCAGACCGGGGTTGCTCGCCCACAGGGATGGGATAAGGCCCGCAACAAGTTGACAGGAGGTGGAAGGGACTCTATGGAAATAGCAGACGAGGAGGTTTCAAGGAACGGTCTTAGTGGGGCAGGTGAGAGCGAGATGGGAGGGAGGGAAGGTTCTGGGATGGATAGTGGTGGTATGGATCTGCTTCTTATGACCCAGCCTGCTTCCGAGGTGGTTTCATACTCCTGCCGTGACGGGCACAGGGATGCGGTGATAGCACAGGTGAAGGAGCATGTGAGGAGATTCAAGAGCATCGGCGGAAGTGGTGGTGGTGTCTGTGGGAGTGCTTCTGGAGGGGGAGGAGCAGCAGGGGCGGGAGGGAGGGCGTGGAGAGATGCGGCTGGAGTGTTGCCATATCTTCAGGGATTGCTGCGAGCAGCAGATGCCACTGCAGAGATTGTTGTGGAGTCGCCAACTGATTGAGAGTGTCAGAGATTGACAGTCGATGATTTTATTTGTTGAAACAGGAGGTGCGCTGCACTGAGAGTGGGATGTTGAGAAATGGCAAGCGGAGCTAGAAGGGCTAATTGCAGGGAGACGTGGAACAGTAATCTCAGCACTTACGGTATGAGTATGGTGTAAACTGTACCTGAAGAGAGCTTTCCACCTACCGAGTTACCTTGTGCCACATACTTGACACCCAACAATCTCATATGTACATTACCTAATTTTGCACTGCCCCAAACATATCAAAGCCTCATCCCCATCATTTTAAAGCCAGCAGCTAAAATAGTGAACCCCATCCCATCTTGAAAATTAGTTTTTTCGTAAGCCCGTTGAAGCGAGCGAGAACACTGTTTCAAGCAACCCTGTCAAATGTTCCCCTTGGCGAAGAAGTCCGACGTGACTTCTACGCTGATCCGGTGGTTGCTTACCACTACGGATACTCGTGGTCGTCGTGTCAGCTGACTTCACTCCGACCGCGGGGGTGAGTTTCGCTCTGGCGTTCTCGCTGGATTCTGTCGCGAGCAGGGCATCCGTCAGTCCTGGACGCTTCCAGAGTCCCCACAGCAGAATGGGGTTGCTGAGCGCCGCATAGGCTTGGTCATGGAGATCGCCCGCACCTCCATTGACTCACGCCCGTGCCCCCCATTTTCTGTGGCCCTACGCGGTTCGGTACGCCGCTCACCAGCTGAACCTCTGGCCACGCGTCTCTCGGCTAGAGGTTTCACCGACCGGTCTTTGGACCGGGTCCCCTGGTGCTGCGTCGCGTTTTCGTGTCTGGGGTTGCTTGGCACTTGTTCGCGACACCTCCGCGGACAAGCTCTCGCCTCGCGCTGTTCCCTGCGTGTTCCTTGGTTTCCCTGAGGACTTCTCTGACTACACCTTTTACCACCCTCCCCTTCACCGGTTCTTTGACTCTCATGACGTCCGTTTCGACGAGTCCGTCCCCTACTATGTCAGGTACCCCTGTCGAGGTCTCCCGGTTTCTCCTCCCCCTCTCTTCCTGACTTCAGCTCCCCCTCCTGCTCCCCCGGTACAGCCTCCCCCCCCTGGTCCCGCCCCGTCAGGTGTGTCCCACGCTACCCCTCCCCCCTCGGTAGCCCCTCAGGTGCAGCCTCCTTCCCCGAAGTCCTCCTCCCAGCCTACAGCAGACCCTGCGGGAGCCGGTTTTCGTGGCGAGGACCCTAGAGGTGATAGCTCTAGAGGTGCTGGAGTTGGAGCAAAGAGCGTACCTGTGCGAGGTCCTGGTTCTGGGGGTGCTGGAGTTGGAGCTGAGCCCGTGACTGCAGGAGACTCTAGTCTTCGGGGAGCTGGTGTTAGTGGAGCTGTCCCTAGGGGTGCTATGACTGGGGGTGCACCCTCTGCTGGACCTGGAGAGCCTGGGACGGACCCTGTTACTTCTGGTGGTGCTGGCTCTGGGGGTGGTGCGACTGGTTCTTTGGAGAGCGGTCCTGGGGCTACCACCACTCCGGACACTACTCCTCCCCCCCACCCCTACCCGACCCGGGACCAGGCCCGTGTTTGCCGTGCCCATGAGGAGCAGCTGGAGTTGGAGCGAGAGGAGAGAGAGTTGGAGCGGCAGCAGCTGGAGCTACAGCGGCTGGAGGAGCAGCAGCAGCAGTAGCAGCAGCAGCAGCAGCAGCAGCAGCCGGAGCAGCCGCAGCAGCAACCGCAACAATAGGAGCAGTAGTAGGCGCCGCAGCTGGAGGAGCAGTGGTCGCAGCCGCAGAAGGAGCAGCAGCAGCAGCCACCTCCTCCTCCTATCTCTGGACTTCGGACCCTCGGTCTTCCTTCTCCTTCTCCTCCCTCCCCCCCCTCTCCTCCCATCTCTGGTCCTCCGCTTCCTCCTCCTGACCCCTCCCCAGCTGTTTTCCCTCCTCCTCTGTCCCCGTTGTCCCCTCCTCTTTCTCACACTTGGCCTTCGCGTCGCTCTCCTCGTGCTCGTCCCTCGCCCCCTTTTCCCTTCACTAACCTTCGTACTGCCCTGTTTCGTTCTAGTCCGCCTCGTTCGTCTCATTCTGTACTTCCTTCTCCTCCTGAGTCGGCTCTCACTGATTCCCTCTCTACTCCTATCACAGACTACTACCGCACGTATCGTCCTGTCCTCTCTCGTGTTCTTGCCTCTCTTGTTATCGACCCACGTGCTTCTCTGTCCTCTGTCTCCGCTCTTACTGCCGCAGTCACTGAGTTTGCCTCTACTCGCTGCCTTGACTACGCCACCAGTCTTGTGGCTGCTCCTCCTACCAGTCCTTTGGCCGTCGGGGGTGAGTCTGCCCTTGGCTGTGACGCCCTAGAGGACAGACAGTTTGAGCTGGAGTTCCTGGGAGCCGCTTCCCCTTATCTCTCTGCCATGCTGCTCGCCCCTCAGGGAGACCCCGACGCCCTTGACATACCGACTCCTCGCACTTACGCTAAGGCAGTGTCAGGGCCTTGGGCCTCTCAGTGGAGAGCTGCCATGGACTCAGAGATGGCCTCCTACAGATCCACAGGCACCTACGTTGACAAGGTTCCCCCCCTTGGGGCGAACGTAGTCGATGGCATGTGGATCTTCAGGGTGAAGCGGCCACCGGGATCTCCTCCAGTCTTCAAGGCGTGCTATGTGGCCAGAGGTTTTCAGTCAGCACGAGGGAGTTGACTTCTTTCAGACATTCGCACCTACCCCAAAGATGACCACTCTTCGGGTGTTACTGCACGTAGCAGCACAGAGAGACTACGAGTTACACTCTCTTGACTTCTTCACTGCTTTCCTTCAGGGTAGCCTACACGAGGAGGTCTGGTTGCGTCGTCCCTCTGCCTTCACTGGCACTTTCCCTCCTGGGACCCAGTGGAGGCTTAGGCGATCGGTCTACGGTCTCCGTCAGGCTCCTCGTGAGTGACACGACACCCTTCACTCTACCGTTTCTGACCTTGGTTTCCAGCCTTCTTCTACCGACCCGCCGTTGTTCGTTTGTCGTGGCTCCACACCGTTCTTTGTACTGGTCTACGTCGATGACCTGGTTTTTGCCACTGCTGACAGGGTTGCTTTGGCTGACGTGAAGCTTGAACTGCAGAACAGACACACTTGCACTGACCTTGGTGAGCTGCGCCACTACCTTGGCCTGCAGATCACCAGGGGCAGAGCCGCTCGCACCATTACACTCTCATAGTCACACATGGTGCAGCAGGTCCTTTAGCAGTTCCAGCTTCAGCACTCTACTGTACAGCGCACACCTCTTGCCATTGACCACAGACTCACCAAACCCTTTCCTGACGAGCCGTTTGAGCCTAGTGGTCCTTACGCAGAGCTTGTGGGCTGCCTCATGTACCTGCTGACTTGTACTCGCCCGGACCTCGCCTTCCCTCTCAGCATCCTTGCTCGCTTTGTTGCGCCAGGGAGACACCGTCCAGTTCACTGGACAGCTGCTGTGAGGGTGGCGAAGTACCTAGCGACGACATCAGGCTTGGGGCTGGTTCTTGGAGGGAGACATGACGTCGTGCTTACTTGTCATTGTGGCTCTTCTTACGCTGACGACGCAGAGACGCACAGGTCTACTCAGGGGTACTGTTTCAGCCTGGGCTCTGGAGCTGTTTCGTGGAGGTCCACACGTTCCTCCTTGGTCTCGACCTCTACTGCTGAGGCCGAGATCTACGTTGGAGCTGTGGCTGTACAGGAGCTGCGCTGGCTGACGTTCTTGCTCACTGATCTTGGTGAGCGGCTGAGCTCTGTGCCGACCTTGTTCACTGATAACAAGGCGACGATTCTCCTCTGTCGAGAGCCGCGACTGGAGAACAGAGTGAAGCACATTAACGTCAGGTAATTTCTTCTGCGAGAGTTGCAGAGGCGTGGACAGGCTCGCTTCGACTATGTTGAGTCCGAGGCCAATACTGCAGACATCTTCACCAAGGCCCTGCTGCCTTGTGACCACCAAAGGTGTTGTGTACAGTTAGGTCTTGTTGACACAGGTTCTCACCTTGCATAGTCTTGAGTTATCTCCTTGCTTTGTCTGTAAACTTTACATATACCTCTGTGAACTCTTGAACTAGCCTTGTGGCTCTTTTGCTTGTGCTCGGAGTGTGTGGTGACGTTGTGATCCACCCTGGGCTTTGTTTCTTTGTGACTGGTCTTGTGACCGTACACTTTTGGTTTTGCTTGACACCCCTCATTTAGATTATGGGGGTGTGTCAAATGTTATAGGCTTAGTGATGTGTGTTATAGGGGGTACAACTGTTAGGGTTAGGTTTATGTACTCCAACCAACCTTAGTCAAACCAACACTTTCATTCTTGAAAAATCCGTCCAAACAGATCGAGCTTACGTGATTGGCTCCTGTCAAGAGAATTGTGCAGGAATGAACGACTAGTAGGCAAGCATGAATACAATTACTAGAAATGACCTAATGTGTTGTAATCCTTAGAGTATGCCCCACTACAGCCTAGAGATAACAAATGCAATTTGACACACCCCCATAGGCAAAGTGGGGGATAGCAAACACATCGGACGATCACAAGGCCAGTCAATCACAGGAACAAAGCAAAGCAAAGCTCAGGGTGGATCTCAAGATCACCACTCATTCAGAGCACAAGCAAGCGGCCACAAGGCCAGTTCACAGGCAGAGTTATAAAAGCACAAGCACTACAGTGATCACAACCTAGCAAGAGCAAGCATGCAGGTATATAGATATAGATCACAGTACAAGACAAGTCAAGCAACCAGTAGGTGGGGCAGAACGGGCAGAAGCCCAAGGGCGGTGCAAAAACGCTGATGATCACCAGACCCGAGGGCCTTGGTGAAGACATCAGCAGTGTTGGCCCGAGAGGCCACGTAGCAAAGGCGAAGGTGACCACGCCGCTGCAGCTCTCGAGCAAGAAAGTAGCGAAGAGCAATGTGCTTCGTTCTGTGCTCCAGTCTCTGCTCGTGTCACAAGGCAAGCATGGCCTTGTTGTCGACATACAGAACCGAAGGAGAACGAGGCCCGTTGCCCGTCGCCCCTAGGCCCCCGC